CATTCACATACAGTATAACAAAAATAATGATGACTGGATTAAATTTGGCGACCTCATTTTTAAGGCCCTGGTGTTGTGGAGGCTGGCTAACTGGGAAATAAGAAGTAGTAGTGGTAGTATTAAAAGTAGGCCAGTAGTTGGATGGATCCTCCAATTGTGCCATATAGAGCACCTTTAGTAGTGCAACATATATTGCTAATAGTAGAGACTGTGCTGCCATGTAGTGGCCTTTTTGAGACATCACAGTATAGGAAAAGTACTGATATAGTACAAATAATAGTATAAATGAATAATAAATATAATTTTTAAAAATAATGGCTGAATTTCATTGAGCTGTTTCAGTTCAGGGTTCTCCTGTTCATGCAGTCTAACTGGCACACAGTCATAGTTTATTAATAAAGAAGGAGTAGTAAGAGTAGTATCGCCAGTATATATGTATATATACACAAACAATTTATTTGACATTATATGAAACAATCTAGAAATACTGCACTGCGGTTGGATGCCTCCACCACTCAGTGCATTCTCCATCTACATAATCTTACTCTGAGATGTAACCAGTTCATCTCTGAGTCCAAGTGACGGTAGATCATAATTGGACAGAGGTGTGCAGAGGGATTCAGATTCAGATCTCAGTGTGATGGTGTGTTGTGGTGAGGTGAGATTGTATACACATGCATTGACTCCTGAGCAATATACAACATTCCCAAACAAATCAAATCTCCAGACAACAATACTAAAAGAGGAACAGTGTTAAATGATCTTTTAAGCATCTTTTGTAGCATGTTATTGAACAACAGTTCTTTGACACCTGTGAAAAGCCATCCCATAATTTAGCTCCTAAATCTAGATGAAATTTGACCTCTACTAGTGAGGAATCAATAGCAGGATGAAGATGTGAAGATTGACGAGTCAACATGGACTGTGAATTTGGTTGGAWGTAATTCTTGAATATGTCAGGGTTATGGTATTTTGTCCTCTTTTATAAAGAGTTTTTTCAGTTCTAGTTTAAATTGTGTTTTTGTTACRTTTTGAATTCATGTTTTAGGTTTGTTCTATGTCCCCTCTGTGTCCCTCGCTTGTGTCTCATCTCTGTGTTCCTCTTTATGTTCTCATGTGTGCCTTCCTGTGTTCATCTCTGTGTTTCTCTTTCTTTGTTTCACCCTTTTTTCCTCTCGTGTTCCCTTCTGCGTTCCTCTGTGTTCCACCMTGTGCTTCTCCTGTGTTCATCCCTGTCATGGTTATTGTATTTTTGTCCTCTTTTATGAGTGTTTTCAGTTCATGTTTCAACAGTGTTTTTGTTACGTTTTGAATTCATGTTTTAAGTTTGTTCAGTGTTCCTCTGTTTCCCGTTTTATTTTCTAGTCCCTGCTCCTGGTGTGTTTCCCCATTTGGCTTCCTGCCCTCATCATGTTGACCTGTTTGTCTTGTGCCACCTGTCCCCATTTACTGATCAGTTCAAGTGTGTATTTAAGTCTTGGTGTTCCCCCCATGTGGTTGTTGGTTCATCGTCGTTTATCGTCACGTTCATGTGTCCCGTCACCTCTCGCCACGTTCCTCCTAAGTTCTTTCATGTATTTCCCTGTTCCACTCCCCTGTTATGATTAGTGCGACTTTTGTTTATTTAAGATTCCTTTTGTTACGTTTACCTTTTTAAATAAAGGGCACTTTTTGTTAAACAGTATTTAGTTTCTGCGTCTTGGTCCCCCCCCACCTACCTGACAGAATGTTCCCCTCAGTGGAGTGTATCTTAATATGAGAACATACAGACTCGGCTCTACAGGACTGCTGCAGAAGAAATACAAAAAGAGGACTTTACTACTCAAGGACAACAACATCAACACGGACACGGTCATCTGCTACGTCAGCAAACGTATCGATGACGTCGTACCGAGGATTACTGTACGGACATTCCCAAATCAGAAGCCCTGGATTAATGGTGACGTCAATGCCAAACTTAAAGCACGGACTGTCGCCTAGAGCTCAGGTGATCTGGAGGAGTACAGGAAGTCCAGGTACGCGCTCCCGAGTGCTATCAGCAGTACAGGGACAGAGTGGAGTCCCACCTCCAGGGCTCCGACCATAGACTGTATATAAAGATGGACGTAGTGTCCGTGACGTCACCCGTTGGTTTCTGAAGAGTGAAAATGTGGCTCGCAGTGGGCGTTTCACCCGGCGCCATCTTGCCGGGGCCTGACTCCTCCTAGTTCCTGGCTAACCCAYAAATGGGCAAAGAGGAGGAGCGCGTGTGGACGCTAGGCGTGCCGAGTGAAGACTGACAACTGAGCCACGCCCACAGAGCTCATCGTTACCGGGTTAGCTCAGGCTAAGGAGCTAGGCTACATGCTACCCGCTACTGCTAACCGGCTAGCGCTGCCKTGTTGTTGCTCCGGGATGGTCGCGGTCGTAACAACGAACCGAACAGAGGTAAGTTACCCTGAAACTAAACAACAACAACAAAACCTATTGATTCATCCATTATCATGATCATACTACATACGCTTACATGCCTCAAGTGGTTTTTAAYGTTATCGTGGTAATTTACCGTTTATTGAACACGTCTAATGAACAGTTTGACGCAATCTAACTACCTCATACTAAGTTTTCACATCTGCAGTAAAGAGTTGTGTGTTGTCACTTGATTGTAATTTTAAAAAGCTAACATTAATAAGCTACATGTGTAAATTGCATGTGACAGTAACTATGTTTCACAAATGTTCTGATACAGACTCGTAGAACCACCATTACTATTACAACCTCGTTTTTTTTAGCCTGTTATGGAATTCACAGTGAATTAGACTCAGTGCAGATGTGTAATTATATGACAGTTAAGATGTGATTTTAATCTCCACACACCACTGTTGTAAACAGTGCTCATATTTATTATATATTTATCTGTTTTCACTCTGAGAGAAGTTGAGGGATGTGATGTGGACTGTTATCAACAGCACTGTGAGAGATTATCACCTTGAATATTACAGATGAGGTAGAAAGACATTTTATATATTTGTACWATGTGTTTTTCTTTTAGTACATCAGTTTGGCTGAAATCTGTGGTGCTTCCACCTGCTGAACACAGAATGAACTGTAAGTACCAGTCTTGGCTTCTTAACACAGCTGATATCACATGTGTCAAAAGTATTGTAATTATTGTATTGTACAGTATCTGTAAATAATCTTAAGTGTTGCTCTTATATGTTCCTTATTGTCTACAGATGTGACAATGATTTCAGGATAAAACATCCTTTATCATGACTTGTTTCATTTCATGTCAGGAAGCACTGCAGCACCTGATGTCCTCAGAATCTACTGGAGCTCGGCAGCTTCAGGCTGGTCAACATGAGGCCGACCTGCACACGCTTCATCTGCACAACACTTCATGTGKTCCTCCCTCAACTAAACATGACCTGCAACTGCTTAGATTTGGCAGTCATTGCAAAGTGTCATGGAKAATATAGTAACAGTTATCACAACAATGTTCATCTTTTACTTTCTGATTTGATAAACTTTAGATAAAAACAGGGTTTTCTTTTCTTTTTTGCCATAAGAGACAGAACACACTCAGCACAGCTGTGTCCCTCAGGTTCGTCCTTCCCTAATAAAATGACAGGAAACAYAAAAGTATGGCATTATTGCAAAGATAAGTGTTACTTTCAAACAATGTTTGTGTCCTTATATTCTCTGGATATTCAACTATGTATCTGAATATGGTTTGGGATTAAACACTGTACTACCAAGACAATGAATGTKCAGTATGGAGTYCTTCCACATTAAAAGTATTGCATATATTATGTAATGCATCATGTATTATGTGCAATACTTTGCTTTTATTGTTAGTAAGTTATAAAAACAGGTCTGTACCTGGAGTCAGTGCAGAAGTGGTGACTCAGTGTTCAGTCTTGTTGGAGTCTAGTTCTGTCTCATGTAGGACATCCATGGGTGCAGGTTATCTGAGTCACCGACATTCTGCATGTTCACTTACTTGACACTCCAATGACAGTCAGTAAAGTCTGACAAGTTCACGTTTCAGTTGATCACAGTAAATCTGTTCCTGCAGTATGATAATCAAGGTTTTTAGTAATATTAATTATTGTGGTAATAAATCAAGTCCAGCTCAACAAGTTTCACACTGCAGCAGCTGCACTAATGTTGTTTCTGAAACAATAATCTAACAAAACATTAATACTGAAGTTACTCAGTAACGTAGTCAAGCCAAATAGGTGGGTCAGCTAAACAACTTTACATAACCTTAGATATCTAATCTGGTGGAGCTTATTCTCCAAACACACAGTGCCTTCAGTTTAAAAGATATACCACCATAAACTCTTAACGCTTCTCTCTGTGGACCAGTTCATGTCAGTTTAATAACTCCCTGCTGGCATCTTGCCTGGAGGTTAGCGGAGCTAAGCTAACAAGCCAAGCCTAGGACTAGAAACCATTTCTGACTACAAAAGAAAGACCAGCAGTGATATTTGGCTGTGGAGGTACAAGAGGCCCAGGAGGACCGCTGCCCACCTGTAATATCCATGGCAGATGTGTTCACGGACATCTTCAACCTGTCACTGCTCCAGTCTGTAGTCTCCACATGTTTCAAGGAAACCATCATTGTCCCTGTTCCCAAGACAAACAAAACTCTCTGCCTGAACGACTACCGCCCAGTAGCACTCACCTCCACCATCATGAAGTTCTTTGAGCTGTGAGTCAAATCCTTTATCACCTCCTCCCTCCCTGACTCAATGAACCCACTGCAGTTTGTCTATAGGCCAAATAGGTCAACTGCAGATGCCATCTCACTCACCCTTCATTCTGTCCTCGCCCACCTGGAGCAGAAGGACACATATGTGAGAATGCTGTTCATTGACTATAGTTCAGCGATCAATACCATCATGCCCCTGAAGCTCGTCACCAAGCTCAGAGACCTTGGGCTCAACACCGCCCTCTGTGACTGGATACTGAACTTTCTGACGGGCAGACCCCAGGCAGTGCGGATAGGTAACACGACATCCTCCACCCTGACTCTCAGCACCGGCCCCCCCAGGGCTTCGTGCTCACCCTCTCCTGTACTCCCTGTTCACGTAAGACTGCATGGCCACCCACAGCTCCAACACCATCATTAAATTTGCGGATAACATAGGCGTGATCACCGGCGACGATGAGATGGCCTTCAGAGAGGAGGTCAGAGCCCTGTCATCTTGGTGCCAGGACAACAACCTCCATCTCAATATCAGCAAAACTAAGGAGCTGATCTTGGACTACAGGAAGAGACAGGGAGTTAAACACGCCCTCCTATCAATCAATGGGACTATGGTGGAGAGAGTCAGCAGCCTCGGATGACCTGACATGGACTCAACACACACACTCCATCACAAAGACTGCCAGACAGCGGCTCTTCTATCTCAGCAGGCTGCGGAGGCTCAACATGGACCTCAGGATTCTCTGCAACTTCTACAGGTGCACCATTGAGAGTATCCTGACTGGCTGCATCACCGCCTGGTATGGCAGCTGCACCGCCCTGAACCGTAAGGCTTTACAGAGGGTGGTGAAGTCTGCTCAGCACATCACCAGGACAGAGCTGCCAACCATGGAGGACCCTTTCACCCAGCGGTGTAGGAAGAAGAGCAACCGGGTCATTAAAGACCCCTACTACCCAAACCATAGACTGTTCTGTCTGCTGCCATCTGGCCGCCGGTACCACAGCATCCGGGCCTGCACCACCTGGCTCAGGGACAGTTTCATCCCGCAGGCCATAAGACTTTTAAACTCCTCCCATCTGTCATAATTCATCTCTCTGCACTTTACAATATTTGCACAAGATTTGTACTACTTTTGTATTGGTATTTTTTATT